AGAGAGAGAGAGAGAGAGAGAGAGAGAGAGAGAGAGAGAGAGAGAGAGAGAGAGAGAGAGAGACCGAGTTGTGGAGATGTACGCCCCTGCGTACATTTATTGCAAAAAAAAGTTGTTTTCACCTTCACAACCATTCACCCTTCCTCTACCTTGACGCTGGAATACTCATGCAAATACCTTAAACGGGATTCCAGTCACCAACTAATTACCTAATGTACACACAATGAGACCTATGGATCACGGCCTTTTAAGTGTGGTAGTCAACACATCAGATATGATACATGGTTCCCCACTGCTCAGCTATGGTACACGGGCTAAGAGCTATCATGGTACACAACATTACATGTATGGTACACGGCCCTCTAGATATGATGTATGGTACGAAATGCAGCTATGGTACACAGTTACGGTTGTACAGACATTACACACGGCTCATGGCAGAGCCTGTTTCCAAAAACGACACCTCTCTCTCTCTCTCTCTCTCTCTCTCTCTCTCTCTCTCTCTCTCTCTCTCTCTGTGCGACATGCATGTGGCCACTACTGAAAGAGGACCCCGAAAGATAGATCATCATTAACCGTACAAGAGACGGTCAACGACACGCTAACCTTCGAACGATACTGCTAGGCTGCTAGCGAGCACACATTGCAAACCTCAACTCAGAATACACTGGTAGATGTCACAAGGTCGATGATGCAAAAAAAAAAAAAAAAAAAAATCATGACGCCCGCCGTGCGGCGCCACGGAACTCCTCTGTGTCCTACGAACAGCTCGTGGTGGCTGTGCCATGGTCCGTGGGCGGGGATTCGCCTGTTGCAGGACGGCTGGTACAGTTACCACGGGCCAGCTGGGACTCCCGCACAAGGTCAGCTATGACTTTCCACCCGTATTCCATCTTCTGCGCTATYARCTGCGCACAATCTCGCTGCACAKCGGCARCARTTGAGGATWGRCGGTCGATGGYGGATACGGTCAGCTCCGCACACTGCAACGTCGTGTYTGTGTGGTGCTTCAAGGCACCAGTCTGTGCCTGCATCCACGATCCCAATTCTTTGAACGACTTCTCTCGTGCGTTTTGKGCAGTCCGTGCCCTCTTGTATGAGGGGGGTGGATCACTGTTGCCTGCTCCCTGTGCGGGGGCAGTGTCAKAAGTGGCAGCAGGTGCTYCTTGTGTGGGGGCACGGTCCGAAGCCGCAGCAGGTGCTCCCTCAGCGGGAGCACTATCCGGTGAGGCTGCACCTCCGCCCGATGCACCACCAGGCGGGMARCTCTGCCCCTCCTCGAATCTGGAACCCGKATCTTCGCAGTTGCTGGGGTGCACAGACTTGTCGTTCCAGTAGAACACCTCAAGCAGGTCGAACCAATCCTTGCGAAGTATGAAATTGAATCCCTTATCATTGCGCTCTGCTGAGTTCATCCTCTAGTAGCTCTGGGCCCCGCTTCCCCTATGAAGGGCTGTCACTTGTCTATACGTGGACCATATGTTGCGCCACCTGGTCCGGCATTCAAGCCACGTTTTTTTGAAACCTGCAGCAGTCAAAGCGTTTGCAATCTCCACCCAAGCTTGCTTAGACGTGCGGACATTGGCCATATCTTCAAAATTTATGGCACGTGCAACGTACCGCTCACCTTTTGCACGTATAAGTGCCATGGTGTCAAGATGGGCCCAATCCCCTCGTTTGCGGGTGCGTGCCGCTCCCCGGGAACCATCAGCATCCAACTGGGTTGTCTCTCGTTGCGACGACAACGGTTCTTGGCTGCCATTACAACCCTCCTGCGTGCTATGAACCCCATGCGGTTCGGTGCCCTCGTCTGCTTGTGATCCTATCCCGTTGCCATCATTTTCGTCATCTGCTTCATTGTCTCTGTTCGGCGAATGCACGAGAACCGTGTCCCCAGATAAGATGCCGTTGCCGCCCCACTCGTCGTCTTGCATATACAGGTCAACATTGCAATCGACCTGCCCACGTGACGCGGTGTCTGCAATCCCCCCACGGTCATGACGCGAAGGCACTGGAGACTGGATTGCAGTCCACTGCATGCCAACCGCGGGATCTTGGCCACCTCCGCACGCCTGCATACCTGCTGGCCCCGCCCCACCCGGGGGATTTTGTGGACAGGGACGTCCACGCGCATCGCCGCAGTCCCCCTTTTGCGAACCACAAGCCCCCCCCTTGTCACCACCACTCTCCACCGGCACACACATGGCCGCACCGGCACTTCCGCCGAAGGTCTCCGCACCCCCCTGATGTGCGTCAATTGAGTCAGCACTGAAAGGCTGGAATGCACTAAAAGCTCTACCTGCTGGCAACATCACGGGCCCTGTCCACCTAGACGCGATCCCGGCAGACCCCGCCCCTTCCGCTGCCGAAGCGAACCCTTGTGCTGTCGTACAAGGCGGCGTCAAACAGATGTCGGCGAAGGAATCAACCAGGCCACCACATCCGCTAGAGGGGGACGACATGAAGACAGGCCCAGAGGGCGTAGTCAACCCTTTGCCACGGCCAGGTGCTGGTGATACCTGGCCTCCCACCGGCGAAGGTCCGCAGGCAGTCTGTCGGGAACCCGGCCCAACATCCCACAAACTGCCACCTGCTTCATTGACCATTTGCCTGTCCAAACCCCTCTGAGCTGGCAGCGAGGAACCCCTCCTACCTTCGGCGGATCTGAAAAACGCAGGCGGCGAGGCTCCACGACCTCCAGTGTTGTTAGCACTAGCAGGCAGCCCGTCTGCTTGCATCGCCCTTGCCACCAATTGCTGCCGCAGCGTGTTGATGTACTCTGTAGATGCATCAGAAAGTTCCAAAAAAGGGAGCGGCGGCATGAAAACATCATCACAAGCCGTGGGTGCTGACGCCATCCTTCTCGGACGGTCACTGCCAATGTGCTGCACCTGTTCCCCACAGGAACCCTGACTGCTT